TTTTTCACTTAAATTATTTTATCCCACCCTTAACATCCCTTCCTCCTCCTTCCCCTTCCCTCTTCTCAGCTACAGATACGAGTTAAAAAATCTCCACCAGCAAATGTTTATGATATGGCCTTATTACTATAATTCTAATTGACATTTATGCAAAACATGTTCCTATAAAACGAATAAGGCGATTGCTGAGTTTGATTTACCTCACAATATCATATATATCCTTTGATTTACCATCACGAAGTCGGAGAATCCATGCACCTGGACTAGCTTTTAGCTGGAAATATCCCTGAAAAAAGGATTTTGAAATAATTCTGAAATTTTATGAAAATCTAAGAAGTGCAGGATAAAGTAGTGAATAAAAATACAGGCCAAACATCAATAAATGCGAAGATCGAAGGGATAAAACGGTGAGAAAGAGGCAATTCAAATCGTTAATTTAACCAAACTCAATTACTTAATAATCAAAAAAATCGATATAAAAAACAAAAAAAACAGAAAATTCAGCACTGGTGCTTACCAGATTGGCCATAACAATCGTATCGTAACGAGTCGGATTCGTTTGAGTGCCAAGGGTGAACTGGAGGCCACGTGGCGGTGAACCAGTCATGTCATCGAAGCAATGACCTTCCAGCAGGATATGTTCAAGCTCGTATCTGGCAATTACATTCCCGGCCACCTGAAATCATACACCTTTTTATAATGTTTAATGCAGCAGGAATGATATGCAACCCTGTTTTATATAGGATCATCAAAGAGGGTGATTTCCATATACGACTCTGTCATGGATTCTTTGTTAATAGCAAGGTATGCTGGATCGACTCCTTGGCTCATGAGAGCACTGAGCAATAGCGTTGTGTTCAACTGAGTCGATGATTTTTCTGAAGTCAACGAAAAGCAAGCATAATGGAATTCTGTATTCCCGGCACTGCTCTATCTCAGCTGTGTTAGCGGAAAGATGGAGTGACAACGAATGCCGATGACATACAGCTGCTCAAATATTCAATTATTCAATGAAGTACAGAACTATGATATCAAACACCAATGCATTAGCCCATCAAAATTAGGTTTGCAAAGATCGATTACGAGCCAAAATCCAGAATATGCCAATTCCTAGAGGGATTATCCGAACAAGTTATTATGATAAATAAGGTCAGAGAAATATGAAATTCACTTCAACTTCCTAATACTAAATTACCATCAAAACAAATGAATGAAGTTTGCGAAAAGGTTCTCTATTTCATTGGCGAATTTGAAAGGTTAATCTCTTCAAATTGGCGCTACTTACGAGAATGTTGTACCCGTCAACACCAGCACATTAAGCTATCTCGTCCCCGGATACTGCTGCGGAAAAACTACGAAAAGCCGGCAAAGAAGAAACCGCTACAAAGAACTGCATAATACCTACGAAAGGCAAGCAGGAAGAGTGTATTTTGCCTTGAAAGACGGACACACAAGAGATGCGCTGTCAGGCCGAATGTACGGTACACACTGGCCGACTGGGTAGCACATTGTTCTCAAAAATGAAGACGAGTGGTTCGATTCCCAATCGGTCCACAGCAATTTTCTAAAAGCGGTTCCGCTCACGACTGCTGCTTAATTTTGTTTTTTGCTCAGGCCGTTTCCACCGATTATGCAAACACAACATCTTTCCTTGAAATCTTTGTTCAATTTTTGTTTCACCTAAACACACTCTGGAACTGCCAGTACAAATTTCAATTATCCACGGTTGCTCTGACCAGTACTAAAACAACCGGTGATGTCGCTGGCATTCCTTCACTAAATTTTTTCATTTCTCCATGAAGAAGCGGCAAATGTGCCATATGCAAAAAAGCAACACTCACGTTTTCCAGTTTAATATTATCGAGATCATAGACTGCATAAACCGACTGAACCATCCATGCATCTGGCGGAACAACCGTCAACGTCAACAACTGCTTGCTCGGAAGTGCTGTGAAATGCGCTTCGTACGCAGAATCACTGATACGACCCGAATCGTCGAACATCACCGAAGGCTGCAGGACAAGGCGATAAAACCTGAAATTCAAAAAAAAAAGAGGATTGGACGTCCAGAAGAAATGATCTGAACCTTGAGAGACTGAAATACTGAAGTTAAAGAAATAAAGGTTGAAATTAAGACAAATGCTTAGAAAAATTGGGGTAAACGAAGGCCAAAAAAGACTAAAAAATCAAAAATCAGAGAGCCTGAAAGTGAAGAATTGAACACATCTCAGAAAAAAAGTTTTCATTAGCGACGAAATTTCTTACCTTTTAAGTGGAAGCTCGCTTAATTTCGATTTCGGATTCATTACCAATTTTAAATCCAAGTTGACAGTTTTCTGTATAACACTTAGCAAATGACCAAGACGTTGTGCTTGAGTGGATAACGGATCAACAATGCATAGAGCGTGGATTATGCCCGATTCTTCGTTTCCAGGAATTCTTATAACACTACAACATACATCATTCAAACATAAATAAAAACAGTCGCAAAACCGCAAATGGTACGAGAATATTAACCCATTTCCTTTTCGATTGCCGATATGGACTTGAACTCCTGTTCTCAATAATCCGCAACGGCACTAGTCGATAACTTAGGATCGACTGACCCACATTCAACTGCTGTTCACGTGGGACCTTTCTCCATT